CCATAGATTAAAACGTGTGATAAATTGGATGATAAGCCAATTTTAATAGTTTAAGCGACCGTGCTAGAACCACGGAACCCGGAAATACCTAACACCTTCTCCCGGGTTAACAGAATTCCTTATCTAGAATTTTTGGTTCGCAGACTTTATAAGTCAAATTTCCTCGACTTGGGATTTTAAAATAAACCGGTGACTTGGGACACCAAATAAACTATTCCAAGTGGCGACTCTAATAAACTGAATTAATTAATCCCATTTCGAATAATGTCACTTTAATTGAAAAAACTCCCTTATATCAACCCTCGGGGTGGTAAAAAAGGAGGTGTGACACTTCCCAACTGCCCCGGGACAAAGCTCGCCACTTGCGCTCATCACGAGTCGAGTGGGTCACCAACTTCCGAACCCAACCCGGCAGATCTGGAATGTCGCCCGGTGCCCATAAAACCACTGCAGAAAAAGCAAAGAAGGCACGGTTACGAAACCAACTTCTGCCATAAACAAAACTGAGAAGACACGGAATGTACCACTTACGTGCATAATTCCATTCCTGGGGGAACGGCATAAACTCCACGGGGAATAACGTCAGCGGTCCGAACTCGGACGAATCGACTCATCCATTCCCGATCTCCTTCTTCCTCATTATCGACAATAAAGGGCGTGGTCGACCGGCATCCCAAGGTTAGCAGACCTCGATGGTGAAAGGACCAATACAGCCTAATAAGATGACTAAGCGTGAATTCAAGACCCACCTTCTCCGCAAAAAATCTCATCATCAACACTATTCGCCAAAATGACGGGTGGATCTGCGCCGAGGTAACTCGATACTTTAAACAGAAGTCAAGCACAATCCTATCAAGAGGGCCAGTGTGAAAGGATACGTGTACACATTCATGAATCCATCGGCACGATCCGTGATGCCCTCATCCGGGGAAAGTATCTGTAACACTACTTTCTCCCCCCAGCCGCAGTCTTTTCCCACTAACCCAAGATGCTCTTCTCCTATTAAAGAAGTAATCTTCAAGGTATGCTCTCATTGGTCCCGAATACCGGAGGCGGAGCTCTCCCCTCTCTGCCCGACAAACCCCGATGTAACAGTCATGGCGATGGCAAACTCAGAGAACTAAAGCAAGGAGTCGGTGCGAGTACGCTGATACTGAAATGATGAAAGGCTTAATGCTGGAAAATAAGGGTAACTACTTAGAAGGGTGGGATCTCCAAAAGAGCAAAAATAACCATATATATATATGGAAAAAACGGCGACGGTCCGCCTACCTCAAGAGCCAATCAAAAAACGCTGACCGATATCGCTTTGGGAAGATACGCTGGCGTAATCTCCTCAATAGCTTTGTATCCATATCATACATTAGGCGACGCCATGTAATGTCTCGGGAATGGAGATCCCCATACCACTGCAAGTCTTGAGGCGATACCCGACCTCGAGGACCTCCATCAAAGGAAATTTAGGCTCCAAGAGGCCAAAGTAATCATTGCCAGTCCCGAGGTGATACCCGAACTCGAGGACCTCCATCAAAGGGAAGTTAGGCTCCATTAGGCGAAAGTAATCATCGCCAGTCCCGAGGTGGTACCCAACCTCGAGGACCTCCATCAAAGGGAAGTTAGGCTCCATGAAGCCAACAACATCCTCACCAGTCCCGAGGTGGTACCCAACCTCGAGGACCTCCATCGAAAAAAAGTTAGGCTCTAAGGAGCCAACGGCATCACCACAAGTCCCGAGGTGGTACCCGACCTTGAGGACCTCCATCAAAAAGAAGTTAGGCTCTAAGGAGCCAAGGACATCACCGCAAGTCCCGAGGTGGTACCCGACCTCGAGGACCTCCATTAAAAGGAAGTTAGGCTCCAAAGAGATAAGCATTTAAGCTCCGCCCATATGGGCTTGATCACGGGGTACCACCTAAACTCGGGTAAAACCTCGTTCTGGATCTACCTGCAATGCCTTAAGGCTATTTACGATAAGATCAAAATAAACTTCTAGATGGCCCGAGTCTGAGCAAACCCCACTCGGGGACTGTTCTCGAAAGTCCAAACATAGGCTCTATTCTCGGGTTCCTGAGCGAATTCCCCCTCGAAGATTATTGCAAGGCCTAAAAACTGCTCTCAAAAGTCTAAAGGTTTGAAGCGTTGCTTCCATTCAACCAGAAGTAAGGGTCCCGACGACCCGAGTTTATCGGTCCAATCAAGGCTTGGTCCGAGGAAAGGCAAAGGGTTCCACAGGGAGCCGTATTAATCAATCATACTTCCACCTAGGCTCGATATCGACATCGACCAGTGGGATCATGCATTCAGGGTTTCCATAAGCGCAAGTAAAAGGTAACATAGAAATCATCCGATACAAAATTGGGGAAACATCTTTGTATTCATAAACACTTGATTACAAAACCCCATGAGGGGTCCGTACATATGGTTACAAAAGCCCATGGGGGCTCCTTACACAGAAACAAAGAAACAAAAAGTGTACATATATGATTAGAGCTCAGAGCCTAGCCTATTCTCCAGGAAGCACCCTCGGTGGTAGTATACTCAAGCACTGCTTCCTCAACAGTCCCATCTCAGTCTCCCAAAGTAGCATCTTCAAAGGAGAAGATGAAGAAGAGGAAAGTGGGAGGAGCAGAAATGGATGAAAAAACGCCATAGCCTGCCAAAAAACTAAGGCTTTACCCAGGCCAGGAAGATCACGGCCCGGTAGAAGACTTGGCGGGCATCGTCCTCGCTTGCACGACTACTTTGAGTCCACTTCTTGGGACATGGTGCTGTGCAAGCTACCGGCCAGAGGTACCACTTCACCCCACGGGAAGCAAAGGGGGTGAAGTGCCACACCAGGCCGGGGTGGGAGGCTGAGCAGCGGTGTATAGTCCGAGCGTCCTCATGAGCAGCGGTGTATAGTCCAAACACCTTCCCAAGACGGAAGAGATCGGCCTCCCTGTCTCACCATCTTGAGCCAACGACGACAACAGTAATAACAACAACAACAACAAATCGGTGTAATCTCGCTCGGCAAAAGAAAGCCCTAGGAAGGGGCCGCAGCATGACTGATGAAAACGCCGCCGTACGGCCCTAAGATCGCAAGGCTCAAACATGGAAAATAACAATGGATAGGGATAAAGCGAAGAGAAGGTCGAAAGACTAATCTGAGAACACTTGAATAAAGAAGTGGTTCCAGGAGGTCCCCCTTTATAGGGGATGGCAGCGTAACCGGCAGCCCCATTGATGTTCTTGAAAGACGTATCGGCAGGAGCAATAAATGCATTTTTGAAAAATAGACTGACGACGATATTATTGTTCTGAAGAATAAAGGTCGACAGTGCAGTGAATAATTCTGGAAAAGTGGACTGACGGGACGTTCCGGTTATCACAAAGGCTTACACCATCAGTATGATATTATCATAGGAAATTCGGAAAGATGGTTGTCAAAGTCGTTTCTTGTCGCTCTACTCTAAGGAATGCGGGGACTATCTATATACGGTAGAATCGGAGGGTCCGATATCGCGTAATCAAGGTACCTCGGAAGATCATCGCGAAGGCTCGAGGCTACGAGACTACGGTCGTGTTTTCCTTCCTCGAGGTTCGTCGACGCTTGACCTTGAGATAATGTTGACCCCGGCTATGGTAGAAACGGGGAGTTCCCTGTCACACCTCCTTTTTCTACTGCACCCCGTGAAGAGGGTATAGTAAAGGGAGTTTTTTCAATTAAAGGACAACCGAAACGGGATTCATTTTGTTAAAAATCAGAGTCGCCACTTGGGAGATTTATGGTGTCCCAAGTTACCGGTTTGAATCTCGAATCGAGGAAAAGGTTTGACTCTGTTTAACAGTCGCGAACCAGAAATCCGGGTAAGGAATTCTGTTAACCCGGGAGAAGGTGTTAGGCACTCCCGAGTTCCGTGGTTCTAGCACGGTCGCTCAACTGTTATATTCGGCTTAATTATCTGATTTTAGAACATTTTGAACCTATGCGCAAATTTTAGCTTTTAACCGCTTTTATTCAATTTTAAAAGAATGTTGAACGACGTTTAAAATATGTCTTCGGATCGCGTCACATGAAATGCACCCGCAATCCGGAACACATTTTATTCAACATTTTGGGATTTGGATTTGGGTCACATGAAATGCACACCCGAGTTTAAGAAGGTAAAATTATTAAATAACGCGCCTAAAGCAACTAACGTGTTGTTAACTTTGCTGGAACCCATGAAAATTCACTAAATGGCACGTCCCGTGTCCTAAAGATTTTTAAAGGTATAATTAAAGAGGGCCATGCAAATTTGTGATTTTTGTTTGGCGCGGCGCACCTCAATTTATTTTAAAAGGATGTCCTAAGGATGCACTATTGTTATCTATTAAGGTTTGTCTCTATTCTAAAAAAAAACTTAACTTGTTAATATTGTGAATTAACTAACACTCAAGTATTCAAGAAAGTTTAGGCCTCAAGATCAAGTCCAAACTCAAACAAGGAGATCTCCATTGTTGAAAAAAACATTAGTTCAAGTCTGCCACTTAACTTGAAAGGCCCAAAATCTATAATTCAATTTTTAAGATCACCAACTCCAATATTGAATCAGGTGTTCTAGTATATTGGGCTCGAAACCAGCCCAGGGAGAAAGGAAAATCAGTTCAGCTTTGTTCGTAAAAGCTATCCAAAGTTTGGGCCTTAGGACAAGCCCAAATCGGATGCCAACTGGAGCTAGGACTCAGGATCGAGTCCCCACATTGTTTAATTAATGACTGAAGTATGCAGTCGACCAAATGTATCCAAATGCTAATAATGGAGCCAACACACATACAGTCTTTGAAATCAACCTTTAATTATTCAATGGACAATTATATGAGATTCTGCCAATGACTTGATTTTGAAAATAATTAGAGATTCAATTTGAGTATTATACTGCATGTAACCTTAATTTCCAAGGCCTCAAATTAAGCTGAAATAATGACATTAGAAATTTAAATTCCCATGAAATCTCATACTAGCAAGAACTATAGAATTGACCTTTAACAATCATGATTTCAAGCATCAGTTTAATCACAGAATGTTCACAACAACGAATGGCTTAAAACTGGCCTGAACATTATTACAAATACAGCTCTTAAGTAATTCTTTGAATTGTAACTACTTTCAGACAAATCCGAGGACTCACACAGAATTCTGACAATACCAGATGCAAATCTTAAAACCAACCAAAAATAGAAGAGTCTCAACTCTGATTATAGACTCAGATTCACTTGTAGCTTGAACTAACAGGCATACTGTAAACAACCTTTAACCAATGTGCTACACCTCAAGCTATACATAAGTGAGCTTGGATGCTTGATGCATGAGAAGACTAGATCTAACGTAAATAAACTGAACTAGCAAATATATAGCTCTCAGATGCACTCAAAACCAAACAAACTCACAGCTAAGATTTACATAAGGAAATGATGCAAACAATAGTTTAAACATGACTGAACACCATAAACTCCAAAAAACCTTCCATTCCTTCATTTCATTTCCACTTGAGCATCAGATTACATAGCTTAGGGAATATGTACCTGGATGTAGGAAAAGCAAAGGAACAGGGTGAGGATCAGCAGGTTCAACAGCAATATGTAACAGTGTTTCAGCAACAAAATCAACCCCCAGAGATGATCAGGAGAAATCCATTTAAACCAAATTCGAAACCAAACAATGTTGAAAGAAACCAACTATCAAAAACCCAACTCAAACTGAACCAAAACACTCCAATACCCGATCGATTCAACTCCTTTCAAGCTCCCGATGCTTAGAACTTATTTCAGAATAGAGACTCTTAGGAATTTTAGGAAATTTCAATAGAATAGTGAAAACTCTTTGTAAATTTTTAGCCGCCTATGATTCTCTCTTTATAGCTCTCCCCCCTTGCTTTCTAAGGCAAGAAATGATGCCTTTATAGGCAAACAACTAGAGCAACCCTTGCAAGTTTTGTTTTTGCACTTTAGTCCTTTTTAACTCTTGTTTTTAGCTTAGAAGTCCCTTATTTATTGACTTGCTACCCAAGTCACACCACTATGATTCTAAAATACCAATTATAACCCCTTCTAGGTGCTTCTAGTGGCTTCTAATTTCAGTTACTAAAGATTTCCTAAATTGAATTCCCTAGACTACCCTTTATTTGGATTCTAAATTACCAACCTAGTTAAACCAACCGCCCAACCTTGTTACCCTGGTCAAGAGATGATCATAGTTAACTAATTAAAGCCTGGAACACTCAGCTATACCCAAACAATTATAATAGAAAACTTAACAATTGAACTAATTAACCAAAAATCAGAATTCAACCCTAATTAATACTAAGGCTAAGACTAACAACAGTGAACTACCAGCAAATTAAAAACAAAAAATAAAATCAATATCACAGCAACAATCGAAATCAAACACAGAAATATGAATCAAACTGAGCTAACATTAATTCTAAGAAAAACTGGAAAAAAAATAAACAGAAAAATCAAATCTAACTAACAAATCAAATAAAAAGTGAAAATTTAAAGATTTAAAGCCTATGTTAATAGAGCCAAACACTGAATCAAACCAAAAACAAAAATTAAAACAAAAAAAAACAGAACGAACAAAAATCAATTAAGAACCCTAAAAATTCTAACTCAATTCTCATAAAAAAAAATATGGAAAAGGGGATCTTACTGGTTTAATTTGACACTACGTTTGATGTTCTAGCATATACGAGCAGCGTCAATTTATGCAGAACAAAGGCTTGAGTTTGAACCGTTGAAATTGGACCTCGGATCTAAGATTGGAGCGATTCTGGGTGGATTCGAAGGATGTGATTGTCATATTAGGCATGAAGGAGGCCTGGGGGTCAAGGGGTATTGTTTTGGGGTGGTTTGAAGGCGGCACCTAGGGTTTGGGTTATACGTCAAAATTTGGTGGGATTTGAGGGATGCTGATCACAGATTTGGAATGGGGAGGGTGATGGGGTTTCGTGGTGTGAAGTTGGAGTCATTTGGTGGCCGGCCGCCGCCGTGAGGCGATTTCCGGCGGCGGTCTACGGTGGTAGACGGCGGGAGACGGGGGTGGGCTAGGGTTTGTGTGAGAGACGAGGACCGGGGCGGGGGGGGGTGGTAGGGGGCATTTGGACAGTTAAATACTAAGAAGTCCAAGCTTCCCAGCCGTCCGATCATTAAACCTCGACAGCTGGGATTAAACTATACTTAAACGATGCCGTTTTTGGACCGGGTTGGGGGACGGGTTTAGGGTGGGGCGGCAGGTTTAATTAATTGGGTTGGGGCATTAAATCCTTGATTAGCCCAAAATCATACTCCCTTCTTTACTTCCTTTTATTTCCTCCTTTTTCTTTTGTTAATTTCTTTTAAATTAAAACTAAAAATTAATTCCTAAATCAAATTGTCCTAACTATAACTAACAATTACCACAAATAATTAAGAAACTAATTTTAAAGGGAAAACTACCAAAATTCAAAAATTAAAATTAAAACAAAAGTAAACTCCTAATTACCAATTAATTCCAAAAATATGCAAAATTAAACCCTAAAATGCAATGCATATATTTTTGTATTTTTATATGAATTGAAAATGCACAAACAAATGCGAACAATTAACAGAAAATGCCATATAAAACTCCACAAAATTGCAAATAATGAAATAAATTATTTTGTTTTGAAATTATGGGAGTAATTCATATAGGGCAAAAATCACGTAATCAAACAGAGCAATCACGGATATTCTTGATTGCCAAATCGATTCTGCAATAAAACCTGGGTTTATTGTTCTAGACCTGGCTTACCCGAGCGAAAAACTCGAGCCGGGGGGAAGGGGGGGCAGCGTACCGGGGATACAGAAGCTCCGCCGGCTTAGAACCTTGTCCGAACCTTGTTCTAAATGGGATAAGACTCTAAACAGAGGAGAAGTCACACGAAGTGCACCCTTCTCCGTGATGTAGAAGACTCAGAGAGAGGAAGGGTTTCGTAGCAGTTTATATATACAATTCGCCAAATATCAAAGCGGTAAAGCATTTAGCACATTTAGCATGAAACATGTAGAAAAATCAGATAAAACCAAATATAACAATTATTCTAAGCTTGAATTCTGAACCCTGAACCAAAAGTCTGGGTTCTTTCCCCAGCAGAGTCGCCAGAGCTGTCACACCTCCTTTTTCACTACACCCCCGGAAGAGGGTATAATAAGGGGAGTTTTTCCAATTAAAGGACAATCGAAGCGGGATTATATTATTAAAAGATTCAGAGTCGCCACTTGGGAGATTTATGGTGTCCCAAGTCACCGGTTCAAATCCCGAATCGAGGAAAGGATTGACTCTGTATTACAGTCCGCGAACCAGAAATCCGGGTAAGGAATTCTGTTGACTCGGGAGAATGTGTTTGGCATTCCCGAGTTCCGTGGTTCTAGCACAGTCGCTCAACTGTTATATTGGCTTAATTATCTGATTTTAGAACATTTGAACCTATGTGCAAATTTTAAAATTTTAACCGCTTTTAATTGATTTTAAAGAAGATTGAACGTCGTTTAAAACATGTCTTTGAATCGCGCCACATGAAATGCACCCGCAATCCTGAAAACATTTTATTCAACGTTGTGAGATTTAGAGTTGGGTCACATGAAATGCACACCCGAGTTTAGGAAGGTAATATTATTAAAGTACACGCCTAAAGCAACTACACATTTTTAACTTTGCGAGGGCCATGGAAATTCAACTAATGGCACACCTCGATTTTAATTTCAAAGGATTGCATTCAATTACACGAACCACGGATATTCATCTATTTCCCTAAGTTTCGTATTTGCTGTGCAGCAATGGATTATGGATAACAAATCAGCTAAAGGTGATCACTTAAAGGGATTGATAAATCATGAAGAAGTGATGGAAATTACTTAAAACCACTGCCAACTAACGTTGTTTGAACCAAAAGAATAAGGGAAAATGACAAAGGCAAACTTGAATCAAAGCTAACGAGAAGAAGAACCGGCAGTATATTAATGAAGCTTTAAAAGTTATTTGGAAAGGAAATGGACATTCACACTACCAGATGCAAAATTTCCAAGGTCTCAACCACTAATACGCCAATAAGGAAACATTCAAATCAAGTTTCAAAACAGTAAGGACATGCTAAATAGTACCACAAATTTCTGGATAAACATAAACATGGTCCAAGATGCCAAAATTGTTTCATGACGCAGACTACAAGGACACGGAAAACATTCCACAATATGCATTCCTAGAGTCACTACCCGGATTAAGAGGATGCCTTAGCCTTTCTAGGAGCCAACTTAAATGAGACTATTTCTAAACTAATAAAAACAACGCCCCAATTAAGATGTTAAAGAACAGGAAAAGCCATTTTTCAAACTTATCACTTCCAACACCAAAAGACGTCAACTGCAAGGCTATTGGCACTTACTTCTTGAACACCAACTTCCGCTTCTAATAAGTTTTCTACCAAGACTCTTTAAAGAGCCCAACGTCCATCATTTCAGAATGCAGACCCCCAGATTCCTCTTTGCCAGAAACCATTGTATTTAATCAACAAACAAAAGACGAGGAACTAATTCAAACTGACGGAAATCAGATTCAAATAATCAATCAACTGAAAATCAACTCACAAATGCACCACAACAATTATATCACCGCATAACACATGTAAAACAAACTCATCTTAACACAACCCTTAAATTCACAACAAGAAAATTGAAAAAGATGAAGTAGTAAGGATAAAAACCTGTTCAAACAAAGATTTCCTTAATATTGGTGGAAGAATTGTCGAGTACAAAATTTCGACCCTAAATCCAAGCGAAATCAGCGGCGAAAGATCAGCAGAAACCGCGAACCTTAAGCAGCGGATGGAATCGAACTCACAATCCGATGCCGAACCTCAAACAGAAACTCGAATCGGCATTGGAACGAACCCAATCAAACCCCGTCGATTCCATGGTTTCTAAATCGAAAATGGGAAGAAAACTAAATTATGAAACGAAAATCAGCTGTCTACACCTCCATTTCCTCTTCCGTTTCCCCTTCACTGTATTTGCATCTGTGGGTGACTGGTGGCGATGGAGGTGGGTGAAGCTACGTTGAAGATACAGGGTGGTCGATGGGTGGAGCGAAGAAGACGAAGTCACAGGAATGGGGTCACTGATTTGCTCTCTGCGGCGCTACTGATTTCCCCTTTCAAAGCTCATTCTCCGTTATTTTTTGTTGTGTATAGGTTTATAGGTCTAGGTGTTAGGGTTGGGTATTGGGTATTGGGTCGGGTCGACCCGGTTTGGACTGGGTTGGGGGAATTTTGGGCTTCTAAAATGTTTGGCCCAATTTGAACCAACTTTTTCAACTCCCTTTCTTTTTTTTCTTTCTTCAATTAATTTGAAAAAATCTAAATTAAATTCCTAAACTAATTCAAATTGCGAAATTAAGCTAATTATTAAACTATAAAATTTATAAAAACAAAATTAATCCCAAATTATAAGAGAAAAATTGATAATCCAAAATTTAAAAGCTAAGAATGTAAAATGAGTCATTTTTGTGATTTTTATTTTTTAATAAAGCAACTAACTAATTAATTAATCCTAAAATGTGAACAAAATCTAAATGCGATGCATGGTATTTTTTGGTATTTTTTTATTTTTAATGGAAATTATATATGCACGATAATGCAAATAATTAACAAAATTCTACGAAAAATCCTATAAAATTGCAAAAATTGAAAAAGATTATTTTTCTTATATTTTATGGGAGTGATTCATATAGGGCAAAAGTCACGTACTCACATTCCCAAGGCACACGACTAGGACTGACAAAGTCTAGTGGGCTATTCTGAACCCAAATCATTGTGTCATTCAGTTGTCTCATCCACATATCTATGTAATTAATGTATTTTGTACTATGCTAGGATTTCTCTCCTATATAAAAGGAGTCCTTGTCATTTAGGATCGGTTGCTTCAGCTGCTTCACAAGAAATATAAAATAACATTCTCTCTGCTCTCTTACATATTCTCTTGATATTATTGCTTCCATTTATTATCTTCATTATTGTTCATCATTTATTGCTTATCATTGGCCATAAAGAGCCTTCTTTGATTTTATCATAACTGTTAGTTATACCTCGATTACCTTCGATAGCTCACAGTCGAGCCCTGGAATCAACCTCGAGGCCCCCAAATCGACAAGCTCGAGGCCCAGATTGTGAACCTATCGGTTTGACCATCACCTTATCCTTAACTCTTATTTCGTTTCTAAGTCTCACATACATAGCATCAACTGGTTAACAACCGGCATAAAAATAGATCACGTATTTTTAGAGTCCCATAATCAAATTTAATTGTAATTACCATTTTCACGGTAAACACCTGCCATATCCATTCCTCCCTTTTTGGGGTTTTTGGGCCACAAAATGAGAATTCGGCCCAATTCCCATCATTTTGTGTGTATAGCCTATGCCTTCCGCGTGAGCCTGGGCCCCCGTACCCGGGACGCCTAAATTTTTTTTAGACCATCAAAAACAACCCAAGAAATGTTGGTCATCGCCCCACCATGTTTCTCTTTTTTGGCGTTTTAGGGCTATAAAATGAGAATTCGACCCGATTTCGTATTTTCATGTGCTATAGCCCATGGCTTCTGCATGGGCTCGGGCCCCTAGACTCGGGTTGCCTAATACATTTCCAGACCATCAAAAATGAACTAAGGAACGTTAGTCACTTCCGCGCCATGACAATTCCTCATTTGTTTTGGCGTTTTAGGGCCATTAAATGAGAATTTGGACTGATTCCTAAATTTTCGTGTGCTATAGCCCACGCCTTTCGCGTGCGCCTAGGACCCCGTACTCGAACCGTATAAAAAATATTCGGACCATAAAAAATAACCTGAAGAACGTTGGTCACCACTCCGCCATGTGTGTTCCTCGTTTTTTGGCATTTTAGGGCCATAAAACGAGAATTCGGCCTGATTCTCATATCTTCATGTGCTATAGCCCACGTCATCCGCGTGGGCCCAGACCCTAACCATCTAAAAATATTTCGGACCATCAAAATGACCTAAGGAATATTGGTCACCACCCCGCCATGACCGTTCCTTGTTTTTTAGGGGTTTAGGGCCATAAAATGAGAATGCGGCCCGATTCCTGTATTTTGTGTGCTATAGCCCAAGCCTTCAGCCTGGGCCAAGTCCATAGACCCGGAATGCCTAAAAAAATTTCAGACCATCAAAAACAATCTAAGGAACATTGCTCACTACTCCTCTATGATCGTTCATCCTTTCTTTTAGCGTTTTAGGGCTATAAAATGATAATTCGGCCCGATTCCTGTATTTTCGGGTGCTATAGCCCACGCCTACCGCATAGGTCTGCGTCGCCGGATCCGGACCCCCTAAAATCTTTTCGGACCATAAAAAAACGACCTAAGGAACGTTGGTCACCGCCTCGCCATGCCCGTTCGTTTTTTATTCCTAGGGTTTTAGGGCCATAAAAAGAGAACTCGGCCCGATTCTCATATTTTCGTGTGCTATAGTCCACGTCCTCCACGTGGGCTCAGGCCCCGGACCCGGACCGCCTAAAATTTTACCGAACCATAAAAAATGACTAAAGGAACATTGGTCAAAGCTCCACAATGGAAGTTCCTCATTGTTTTGGCGTTTTCAGGCCATAAAACGAGAATTCAACCCGATTCTCATAGCACACACCTACTGCATGGGCTCAGGCCCCCGGACCCTGACAGCCTAAAATTTTTCATGACTATCAAAAACGATTAAAAAATGTTGGTCACTACCCTGCCGTGACCGTTCATCATTTTTTTGAAATTTTTGGGCCATAAAATGAGAATTCCACCCGATTACAAGATTTTCGTGTGCTATAGTCCACGCTCTCTGCGTGGGCTCGGACCTTGACTGCCTAGCATTTTTTCACACTATCAAAAATGATCTAAGGAATGTTGGTCACCGCCCCGTCATGACCATTCCTTATTTTTTTTGCCCTGATTCCCATGTTTTTGTGTTTCATAGCCCATGCCTTCTGCGTGGGCAAGGACCCTGACCGCCTAAATTTTTTTCCGACCACCAAAAATGACATATGGAACATTTGTCAAAGCACTGCCATGACCGTTTCTTATTTTTTTGGCATTTTAGGGCCATAAAACGTAAATTCGTCACGATTCCCATTTTTTCATGTGCTATAGCCCACGTCTTCCGCGTGGGCCCGGACTCTAACTGCCGAAAAAAATTTCAGATCATCCAAAACAACCTAAGGAACGTTGGTAACCGCCCCTCCATGACCGTTCCTCATTTTTTGGTGTTTTAGGGCCATAAAACAAGAATTTGACCCGATTCTCATATTTACGTGTGCTATAGACCATGCCTTTCGTGTAGGCCCAAGCTCACCCTAGTCAGACCGTCTAACATTTTTCCAGACCGTCAAGAACAACCTAAAGAATGTTGGTCACTGCCCCGCCGTGAGTGTTCCTCTTTTTTTGGCATTTAGGGCCGTAAAACGTGAATTCGGCACGATTCCCATATTTTCGCACGTTATAGCCCACGCCTTCTACGTGGGACGGATCCTGACCGCCTAAAAAAATTTCGGTTCATAAAAAACGACCTAAGGAACGTTGGTCACTACCCCTCCATGACCGTTACTCGTGTTTTTAGCGTTTTATGGCCATAAAATGAGAATTCGACTCGATTCTCATATTTTCGTATGCTATAGTCCATGCCTTCCCCGTGGGCTCAGCATCCGGACCCGGACCTGGACCGCCTAAAAGTTTTACCGGACCATCAAAAACAACTAAAGCAATGTTGATCAATGCTCCACCATGACTGTTCCTTATTTTGTGGCATTTTCGGGCCATAAAATGAGAATTCGGCCCAATTCCTATATTTTCATGTGCTATAGCTCACGCCTACCGCCTGGGCTAGGCCCCCAGACCCCTACGGCATAAATTTCGGACCAGAAAAAATGATTTAAGTAACGTTGGTCACCGCCCTGCCATAACTGTTCCTCATTTTCTGGAATTTTGGGCCATAAAACGAGAATTCCACCAGATTCCAATATTATCGTGCGCTATAGTCCACGTCTTCCGCGTGGGCTCAAACCTTGACCGACTAAGATTTTTTCAAACTATCAAAAACGACCTAAGGAACAATGGTCACTGCCCGTCATGATCGTTCCTTATTTTTTTGGGGTTTTAGGGCCATAAAACAAAAATTCGGCCTGATTCCCATGTTCCGCATGGTCCCAAGCCCCCGTACTCGGATCTCCTAAAACTTTTTCGGACCATCAAAAATGACATAAGGAACATTAGTCACCATCACACAATGACCGTTCATCATTATTTGGCATTTTAGGGCCATTAAATGAGAATTTAACTCGATTCTCAAATTTTTGTGTGCTACAGTCCACACCTTCCGTGTGGGCCTAGGGCCCCCTACTCGGACCGTCAAAAAAATTTTCAGACCATCAAAAACAATCTAAAGAACATTAGTCACCACCCCACCATGAGTGTTCCTCATGTTCTTGGCGTTTTAGGGCCATAAAAGGAGAATTCAGCACGATTCCCATATTTTTGTGTGCTATAGCTCACGCCTTCCGCGTGGGCCTGAACCCTGACTGCCTAAAATATTTTCGGTTGATCAAAAGGACCTAACAAATGTTGGTCACCGCTCCATGACTTTTCCTCATTTTTTTGATGTTTTAGGGCCATAATATAAGAATTCAACCTGATTCTCATATTTTCGTCCTGCCTTACACGTGGGCTCAGGCCCCCGATGTGGACCCTTAAAATTTTACCGGACCATTAAAAATGACTAAAGTAACATTGGTCAACGCTCCACCATGACCGTTTCTCATTTGGCATTTTCGGGCCATAAAACGAGAATTCAGCATGATTCCTACATTTTCGTGTGCTATAGCCTACTCCTACCGCTTGGGCCCCGTCCCATGGACTCGGAATGAACCATCACAAATGACCTAAGGAACATTGTTCACCGTCCCGCCATTATTGTTCCTATTTTTTTGGGCGTTTTAGAACCATAAACGAGAATTCGGGCGAATTCCCATATTTTCGTGTGCTATAACCCACGCTTGCCGCTTTAGCTCAGGTCCCCAAACCCCGACCGCCAAATTTTTTTTCAGACCACTAAAAACGACCTAAGTAACGTTGTTCAATGCCCCGCCGTGACCGTTCCTCATTTTTTTGAAAT